TGGATTGCAGTGATTAGCAGAAGTGTAAAATGACCGATGTGCTTAAATAGTTTCCAACTGTAGAAAGTAATTTTACGCCAGTGAAAATGTAGACGAAAAAAAATCCTGTTTGTTTTGCATTTCTTTTAAGAGGATGTATCTATAGAAATTTTCGATTAAATCGTTATGTACCTTGAGCATGATGTTTACGTTTTGTACATTATCCGATCAATGCCACCAAGTTTACTGTTTTTAACCATTCTAGATAGTTAAAAAAGATGATTTTCATGGTCAAAAGAACTGAAAGCAGAACAAAACATATGGTGCAATAAGCTAAACTAAAAAATGAGAATTATTTTATTGTAACTACTGTACATTGTAGTTATATCTAATTTTTTTTTAAAAGTAGACAGTATAGGAATACTATATAAGTAGAGTATAGGACTATGGCATTCCTCTGGAAACATCTTTTCGTATTTGCAAATACATGTATTATAAACTATTACAGAATATTGTAAAGCCAAACTGTTTAGTCTGAATCTTGATTTCTGTGTTTTAGGATCAACTCACCAACTCTGACAACATTCTCTGACATCTCTTACGACACCTGAAAAAGGTTCAGACTACCAGTGTCTGACCTGGTGACTGGGTACGTAAGTTACGTACGTCCCCTGTGTGAATACGCCTGCCCTGTCTGGGGCCCCGGACTGACTTCCACCCAGATAGCCCAGATAGAGAACATTCAGCTCCGGGCATGTCGCATCATACTTGACAAAGACTAATTCCGGTACTCGGACGCATGCAGTCTCCTAGGTCTACCTTCACTCCAGGAAAGACGTGAACAGCTGATCCTGAAGTTCGGACGCGGTCTGATGAAGTCCCCAACATTCAGACAGTGGCTGCCTCCTACTCGAGGAGAGACCAGCGGTAGAGACACTAGATCTAGCCACAAACTGAACACTGTCACTGCCAGAACTGAACGATTTAAAAACAATGCAATACCACATATCGTGCGAGTACTGAATGAGAACTGAGATTGCCACTTATATATTTTACTGTTCAAAGACTCTTTTATCCTGCCTGTAACTTGTGTGTAAACCTGGTATTTTAAATGAACGTATCTTATATTAATAATTAATGACGTGTAATGATTTTATTAATCGATTATGTAATTGTCAGAGCAATTCAGGTCCCAATTACATGGAACATTTAATTAATAATTCAATTAATAAAAAACATTAATTAAAATCATTTTGCAGCCCGGAGGCTGAATTGCATGTTTGCTGTCATTTGAGTGATTAATTAGTAACATGTTAAATGCCTTAAATGCATGACCTCGTTTTATTGATGTGTCATTATGGGTTCACCACACCACGAAGTGGTGGTGAACCCATATTGCTTTTTCTGATGTTTCTTCTCCTCCTCCTTCTCCTCCTCCTCCTGCCACTTCTTTAAATTGATTCAACTCCTTCATTTTTGGGCGAAATTACCTGTAATTTCGTATAGAGGTATAGTGGGTAAATACCCTTAGGCGTTTTTTAAATTTTTTTGATACAAGCTTTTACAATCGTTTTATTTGCTTTTTAGTGGTCCCCATAGGAAAGTACTGTGGGGGCGTACGCGCGTGACGTAATAAGAAAGGAATTCGGGGGAAGGCCCAAATATGGGCATACAAGCAGGTGTGGTCATGTTTGCAGATGTGGCTGTTGATTGGCTGTTGGCTAATTAATTTATTTACTACCATTTTCACGTACCAGCGCAGCTGGTCCACGCGGTCTCGGCCGTGGGCCATGATACTCTGATACTGGATACCGATTCGTGTGATTCCTATAAACATTTCACCTAACTACGAACTAGTTGGAAGAATTATAGCTGCATGGATGCCTGTATATGATTTTAACAAACACTGAAAATCTGACGCAAAAACTGGCAGATATTTTGCTCTTCTCTGTTGGAACAACGCAAGCGGGAGGTCAATGACCTGCGCCCCGCGAGTACTGTAAACAACGGTACGTAATGTGTATCGTCGGCGCACGCGCGCGCGCCACGGTATCAACAATTTTCCACAATCTTCACCGACTAGTATTATATATTCTGTTATCGATTTCTGAAGAATCACCAAAATTGTAGAGTGTATCTCCTAGAAAGTCCCTTACTAGTACTTGAAGCGATCGTTACCGCCATGTTGTTCACTTTATATGACATACAATGCAGAGAGTAATGGAAACGTGTCCAGATAGCTCGGTTGGTAACGCGCAGGGCTGCAAGTCCAGACATTACGAGTTCGAACCCCGGTACACTGGATATTTTTAATTATCCTTTTTACAATTTTTAACATTTTTAACAATTTCAACAATTTTAACCATTTTAACCATTTTACATTTTAACAATTTCAACATTTAATTTTAACATTTTCGTTTTAATATCCATTGCTTTGCTTTTAACATTCCAAAACTGATTGTTCTTACTCAAGAATTTCAATAACTTCGAATGTTAGTCTTTTGTATTTTTTCAACATACAAACCAAAATCACTTTGATGTTGTCACAAAAGTAACATCTGTGCGCGCATCGGTTTTCGTTCATTTAAAAACTACAAGTACAAAACATCTGGAAACTAAGCAAACATACTCAGTAAATTGATTGCTGTAATTATGGGTTCACCACACCACGAAGTGGTGGTGAACCCATATTGCTTTTTCTGATGTTTCTTCTCCTCCTTCTCCTTCTTCTCCTGCCATTTTTTTAAATGGATTCAGCTTCTTCATTTTTAGGGCCCAAGGTCCTGAAATTTGGTATGGAGGTACAGTGGGCAAATACCCCTAGGCGTTTTTTAAATTATTGTGATACAGGCTTTTAGAATGGTTTTATTTGAGTTTTTTGGCTGTGTTATAGCAAATGTATTGCTGTGTTAGTGTGCCTTGTTTACCACGTTTGGGCATGAGTCATCACAATGGAATGCAGGGCATCAACCAATAGGCATGCAGCTTTCCTCTATTCTTCTTGCTGATTGGCTGTTGGGATTTAACTTGATCAACACCTGCACAGAGCATTTCCACCTGCACAGAGCATGTCTTGCTGATTGGCTGTTGGGATTTAACTTGATTAACACCTGCACAGAGCATTTCCATACTGACAGTATGTCTGTATTCAAGTGTTTTGGTAGGTATTTCAAGCTTTCCTGCTCCAGCATTGGAATGCGGGGCATGGACGTTTTTTTTTATTTTGAAAATCAACAGTTTGCATTATGCAATTAAAAATCCTAACCAATAAAGTAGGGAATAGCTATCCAACTGTTCTTTTAGTTGTATTTTACTTCATATTATAGTTATATCAATGTAAATCATTGTTTTCCCTCGTGTTTCTCATTCTTTCCCTGCCATGTCGTAAAATGTGGTGAACCCATCGCTGTATTTGCTCCAAAGCAAATATTGGCCTTTCTAGTTAAACTCGTATATTTTTTCACTAACGTGTTTTTTTTTTTAATTCTCAATTTTTTAGGACGTTCATAGGCGTCAGGCGTGTCCAGTAACCTAAGAGAGCCGGAGGAAACTATGGAGGATGGCACACAACTTCACCAATCAATGTTGCACTGGAGCATTATAATGACGCATCAGGCACCACGAAGACCAATCAAACTGGCAACGTTAACACAACCTTACAAAGTGTTTTCTGTTTTGAGGTACCGATGTACATGTATAAAGAGGGCTTCTAGTCGCTGAAAGAAGATTGTGACATCTGCCCAAATCTGACCACTATGGCCCCCTAATCCTCCTATCCAAATAATTTTCTTCGCATCTTTTATCTTTTGGTCTGGCTTAGCTGTCGAATATCTTTCATACAAACTGTACAAAGGACGGACTTTCTATGATCCATGTAATCTTCTGGTAGCTTAGCAGCCAGACTATTATCACGTGGGCGTAAGTCAAAACGGAGAAAAGGCAGATATTGGCAAACATCTGGAATATTTCATGTTGGGTAAGCAAGAGCATCAAGAGGAATGAATGGATTCTATAATGAATAAAATCAGTGTAGTGAAATTATGTTCACCATGTCAGTGTCAATGGTCGGTTATGAAAGTCCCTAAACACTGTCATAATTACGAGTACCATCTGTCTTACTGACAAAATCAGATTTGAATTATACGGAGAGAAAAGACATCCACGACTCCCATCTAAATAAAAAAAATCTTTTCATGTTTCTCCCAGGATGTACAAAGAACGAACTCCTCCTGATAAAGTAATCCACATGATCTTCTGGCAGCTTAGCAGCAAGACAATTATTGTGGGCGTATGTAAAAGCAACTAGCGGTATTTTTTTTTAATATTACATTTGAGTAAACAAGCTGGTGGCAAAAAGATGGCGCCATAAGGTGGAAAATAGATGATTACGATTTCTAAATTGTATCGCGTGGGAAATTATACAGAGAAATTTTCGTTCAATGTTTGCATGTAAAATCTACGATTTGGCCAGAATTTTGTGAAAAATTCAGCATAACTTTGTACACTCTTTCCCATTTCCAATATTTCGTATCCGAACTGGCTGAGGTCTCAAAGGAAAAACATAGTTTTGATGTCATTGTTCTTACTGAGCGGCTTCAATCTTCTCTAGTCTCAGATTACGGGATCTGGGTTCATATTAATTTTTGTCTAGTACCATACGTGAGTCGACAACAGGCTTGCCAGGAGAAGGACGTGTTTTTTCGCTGTCCAGAATCCTACAGTGTCATCATGTCGGAAGAAGAGCAACAGTCTCAGGAGGATGACACTGGTAAAATACAAAATATACAAATTGGGCAAACTTTTTTGNGTCTGACGTTTGAGAGAAAAAAAAGAAGAAAGTCAAATCAATTTTATTGCCATAAGTGCCCCGTAGTGAATTGCTCTCTAAAATTTGGATATTCTATTCCTTGTATTTCATTTGTTATTTTTTCAGTTTTACTTAATAATTTTTTTATCTATTGTTAAAAATTGTAATTTCTTGTCTTCATTCTTAATTATTT